ACACTCAGGATTTGACGAAGGGGAGGAGGTGAAGAGCATCTGCACAGCAGGAGTAAGCAGTTTGACATCACTGTGATCAGGAGGAGACAGACACAAGGATGGTGCTCCATGCCATACATCTTGCAGAGTCATATTCCTGCATCATTGTGAGGTCTGATGACACAGTTGTGGAAGTACTGCTCATATATTATGCAAGCAAATACATGTTTGGTTCATCTCTAGTGTACATGCATGCAGGCCATGGAATGAGAGAGAGATATGTCCCCATCAACACCATATGTGAGAAAATTGGAAAAGACATGTCTAACTGTCTACCAGCATGTCGTGCACTCACTGGCTGTGGCACAACAAGTAGTTTGTACAGAATAGGAAAGACAATCAGCATCAGCAGGTCGTTTGTGAACCTGACCAGAGCTGTTTCAGTGCTGTGGGCGGAACGGAAACTGGACTGGAATTTCTCAAAGAGGCCGTTTAGCTGGAGATGGTCCTGAAGCTGGGCGGCAACTACATGTCTAACTGTCTACCAGCATGTCATGCACTCACTGGCTGTGGCACAACAAGTAGTTTGTACAGAATAGGAAAGACAACAGCATTCACCAAACTCAAGACCCATCTCAGCAAACTCAAAACATTTTGGACTCTCTGCCAGCTTGGAAGAGTCTTTGCCAGTCGCAAGAGAATTTGTGCTTCTGCTATATGGAAAAAATAAAAAGGAAATTGGACTGATGTGCACAAACTTGGATGAACTGAGGTTCATAATTGCATCAACAACAGATGCAGCCTCGGAAAATCTGCCGCCAACAGAGGATGCATTTCAACATTATGTAAAGAGCAATGTTTCAGACAGCGATATGGTGTCACAAACCCTTGTTATGGAGTCCTGTTGGCAAGGGGTGGATTGTCAGAGATGGGGCCATTCAACCAGTGCTATTTACAAAACCCCCAGCACCTAGAGAAGTGAGAGACATTACTCACTTGTATTGCAAAGATGCAAAGTGTGGAGAGTGTGGACAGTGCCAGTGCCTCTCTGTTGGCCTTCCCTGTACGGAGTTCTGCACCTGCTGTGCAGAATGTCAAAATGTTTCTCCTAACGTTTCTGAGGAACCTGACATTTAACATGATATTCTAGTATCTATATACTTGACCTCTCACAGAATTATTTGATGATTTATATACTGTACATTGAATTAAGGTTCCAGTTTCAATAAAACATGTACTATTTACACCTATGTTTTAGAGGCTTGCAATTTAGAACTAATACACTTTATTTTATTGGGTTACTCTTATTCTGACTATTTGGTGATGTAGTTCAGCCACCTGGTATTTCCCTCTCCAAATATAATGACCATCAGAGTGAGCATTCTTAACTTATAGGCTATTATGCCACTTCTCCCCCATTCGGAATTTGACTGTCTCAGAGAAGAGGTAGGCCTATGTCTAAAGAAATCTAATTTGCAATAGAACTGTACCAGATATTTCCATACAACTACTGGTTAGTGTTCAATAGCACCCTAGACAATTCAGTAATGGTATATCTTTTAGGGATTACTGTTTTTCTGATAAATTAGAGAAAAGTGATTGTACAAATTCCGTCTAAACTAAAGCTAAGTTTACAGGACTATAATTCAGTATTTCTTTAGTTAAATAATTGTCTGACTATTTGGTGATGTAGGACAGCCACCTGGTTCATACCTCAGCAAATCTGAAGAGGAAAAGAGTGATCATTCTCAAGTTATGGGCTTTTTTGCCACCTTTCCCATATTCGGCCTGGTCTAATTTGGCTCTTTTTCAGGGATTGGGTAGCTCTAAAGAAGAACCAAAAAAACATTTTTTCCCCCAAAATAAAATGTGACAACAATTAATTTCATTAATGGGAGACCCTAAAGATAAGAAAAATCATTGTTGTCATTTGTTCTACCTCGGGTAGGGGTATCTCGAAAACAAAAGCCTTTTTTGAGGACTTGCTGCTAGACTATACATGGTGTGTAAACAGGTGGGGGCAGTGGTGCTGAAGCACCCCCCAGGATAGCCATAGCACCCCCTAAGCACCCCTAAGAAATGTATGTGTCTTTTTTTTTTTTTATGTGTAAAATTCATATTTTGAAAAATGATTGATTCGAAAGTAATATGCTACAGTAGTACAGTACAAGTAGCCTACTTATGGGTCTCTGTGTTTCATTCAAGCTCTGCTCTGTGTGTGTGGCACGAGTCATTTTGTGTGCGTGCGCGAGCGAGCGAGAGAGAGCGCGCACCGGTACCGGAGATCGTTGTGGTTAGCATCTGGTGCTAGTTAGCTACGCTAACGGATATAAGGAGCTTTTTCAACAACAAGGTGGAGGGAGAACTCTCTCCTGTCAGACTGAGAGTCTCAGATAACCTCAGCTCAGTTGAGAATTGTCGTATTTTTTAAGAAATGTTTTTCTTATGTCCATCTTCAAAAACTCTGAGTCCGACTGACAGTTTAAATATTGTCACAGCTCACAGGATAGGTACCTGTCAGCCAATAAGACAGATGTTTATTTCCATTCAACTCTCTGGTTGGTCTGGTGTCTTGCCTCTGTTGCATTCACCGAACACGGGAAATTACAATTATGCCGTCCTCTCTAGTGTCATGATGAGGTTCAGGTAAAGCACGGTTAATGTATTATATTGCATTTAGAGAAATTAGATGTCCTTCAACATGGCGTGCCGAAAACCATTTCCGAGTCACTACCGGAGGACCGAGGATTCGAGGAGTCGAGGAGGGGAAATTAGAGAAATAAGAAAGGCCCCATGTCATTTCGTAGGCCGCTCGGTCCAGCTCGTGGGCTGGGTCCTCCGTGGACCGTGTAGGCTGCGTACTCCGAAGGGTGCAGCCCCTGAATTGAGACACGGCTACATGATGTGGCCTGCCGACATGGCCACTTCCATACCGATCATAAATCAAAGCCCGAGAGAGCACCGGTTACTTGTATTTTTGTTGTTAGCATCTAGTTAGCTAGCTGCTCTAAAAGATATAAGGAGCTGTTTCAACAACAAGGTGGAGGGAGAGTCCTCTGCTGTCAGACTGAGAGAGTTAACTACAGCTCAGGTGAGGTTAAGGACTCTCTGAGTGTTTAGATAGTAGTCTTAAGTTATCTCAGTGGGTCTCAAACGGTTTGGTCACCATTTATGTAAACACATATTTCCATTTGAGGGGGGAGTGATAAGTAAAATATGCATGAATAAAAAGAAAAAAATGTTAAATAGGTGAAAAAAGGTAAGATAAACTTTAAAAACGTGTTGAGAGCTAAAACTAGTCTTTGCTGCTGCCAAAAGGAGCAGGGGGGAGAGGGGGGAGATGCTGATTCAGGAGCCCAGACACACTCACAACTATAAATGAACCAAAAATAAATAAATAAACAACTTTCAATTTTTTTTAAATATTGGATATGGTATGTTATTGGTTATTATTATGGCCATGTTCTTATGATTTTATGATTATTTAAATGTATACAGTTCTGTTTCATATGGGTGTTTCCATAGATCTAGTCTCTCTATTTTCCCCTCAAAATGCACCAGATTGATGCATTTAACTCCAAAATAAAAATAAAAATCTTCACCCCCAAAATATGTTCACATGGATAGGTTCCCAAATACATTTGCACATTTTTTAAAATAGTAACCCCTGTCCATATGTTTATTATTGGGTAGTAGATTTAAACTATAGGGCTATCACTATGGGCAGCAACGCTGTAAATATTCACAAATAAATCCAGCAAAATGGCACAAACAAATACTGGTAGTGGCCTGGCTGGGTGTATAATTCCCGGCCTTCTTAAACGTCAAGCTAACCCATAGCACCCCCAAAAGAAAATATCTGGCGCCGCCACTGGGTGGGGGAAGGCATTTTAAGATCCTTTGCTTATGTCAAAGTAACACTAGCAATATATAAAACTACTCCAAAAGATTACAAGTCCTGCATTTAGATTTTTTTCTTTATTAAAAGTGGGTACGTCAGCATAATGTTCTTACATGCCGCATCAAAAGTAGAATTACATATTCTGCAGAAATCATGGTCTACGTCAGTGTTTAAGTATTATATACATATAGATTAACATCATTGCTGCATTAATGTGTGTGATAAATGTTACTTCTCAAGACAGTTAACTCCCCAACGCACCACATGTTTTCAGGGTTGCTGTCCTGGGTGCTGAAAGGGTAAAGGTTAGTGAGTTGTATCTGTATAATTTGTTGACATTCAAGCCCCAACCTTCACAGAACAACACATAGGCTCGAGTCTAAATGTGGCTCTAATCATGATGCACTATTTCACACCTCTTCCTTCATGCAGCATCCGTGTCTTCGTGTATACAGGAAACAGAAGGAGGAAGTGTCTGGAAAAACAGAAACAAAGAAAACATGTATTTTTTCTAAACCAACCTATTGTTAAGCTCCTTGTTTGTAATGGGGAGACATCATATATGACACTTCTCATAGGATTTCTTCAATTGAGTCTGAATCAAAATAGGCTAACATCTTAGTCCTGAGTTTGACACAGACATCTTTTACATGGCTGCCACACACACACACACACACACACACACACACACACACACACACACACACACACACACACACACACACACACACACACACACACACACACCACACACACACACACACACACACACACACACACACACACACACACACACACACACACTCACACACATTGCTGACCCAAATAAAAGTGTATGCTTGAAGTCATACGGCGGAGCCTGCTTCTTTCTCCATCCCCCTTTTCAATCTGCACTTTAGCTTGTATCGCAATTCCTCCTATGCTTTGCACATGCTTTACAGTAGACCTCTGTCTCACCTACCAGAACCTGAGCATCATCAACCTGCCTCCTCTCCCCTCCCTTCCACAGGATATTCACAACTGGCACACTTTACTTCATAGCTTGACATCTTCTCATAGCATCCAGCAGCACCGGTGCACATATCTCTCATCAAGTTTTCGCCTGTTGAAGAAAATAGGAATGGCTCCTAAAAGAGAATCCTCCATTAAGAAGTCTCCTTCACCAGTGGACCAACCCAGACTGGGTCCTCCTTATCCCTGCCTCCATGCAGCTCCAAAATCTGCTCCGGAGCAGAAACCTAGGATGCTGCATCTTTCTGATTCACCATTTGATCCCAGTACCCTAGAGGTGAGTTGTGTATGATTTTTATGACAAAGCTAATGTGGGGCACTCATCAATTAGCCTCTGAGTCCTATTAATCCTATTTTCTGTAGTCAAGATGTAACCACGATGATAAAGCACAGGTAGAGATACAAGATAGTAATTTGTTTGCCAATAAGTTCTGTAAAAGCACAACATGCTTATCATTTGCAATGTAGCTTTCTTCTGACGCTAATAAATTGTGAGATTCAATCTGGAATGAGACTGATTCTAAGCTAAAGAAAGAAATGGGGCACTAAGTGCAGCTGTCAGTCAGTCAGTGGCCTCCTTAGGGAGAAAGATGCCTTTTCTGCCACAGTATGTGCTAATTCTTTCATTAGGAAGATGATTTCAACAAATCAATGTGACTACACCACTGATTAGAATAACTAAAATAACTCAACTAAATCCCTTATTCATATACCGCAGCATGAGAAAATGTGTTATTCTTCACAAGATTAATAATTCAGAGAGTTTTTACTTGCCCCACTTTTCAAAGCTACACACTGGCTGCAAAGAGAGCAGAGCTTCTGTCCTTCAACTTAGATAAAAGCTTTTGTAAAAATTGACCAAGCTGAAGCCCATTGATTAATGGAAATCATATCGCATATGGTAGTTCCAAATTTTGGCTGCTTACCTTACAAAATAAAACATTTAATGCAAAAAGGCACTGAGCAAAGAGTCTGTTCATTAAAATATAACCTTCACACAGCTCTAAAATACATTTGAAAGGGATCCTTACCTAATTTGTTTGCTATCTGTTAAAAAGATTAAATATTGCTTTAGGGTACTACTTATTATATAATCTAAAATGTAAATCCCATTTCTTTAACCCTCTGAATGACTGGACAAGGATAAATAATACTAATAAATGATATTATACAAAAATGTGTTTCTACATTTAATAAGTATAAATAAAATGGAAAGACATATTGGGATTAAATAAACAAAGTATGTAACGTGACCAAGGAAAACATGTTAACATACAGTAAGTCCAAAACATAGATTAAAGGTCAATAAGATAAATATGTTTTAGTGTAAATATGTCTTCGAAGAAACTCAATTTATATTGATGCCCACATTAGACTTTGTGCTAATATTCTTTAGCTTTGTCTGTGCTCTAGCTTTGCTGCCATCTTCATGTGCTTTAGGTGTTACACTGTGTCATTCTTGCTGCATGATGGAGTGTCCCATTTAGCCTGTGAGAATATCTGGGCCAAGTTAAGAAGCCCGCTTCTGCTCACAGTGGGACCACAGACATGACAGGAGGCCAGAGCTCCGGCTGGGGGAGGACGGTTCTTTAGTTAAGAGATGTAGCAGCAGTCCATGATCTCACTGGTCGAAAATGATCCATCATTCCTTTACGGCCAGACACTCAAATCTTTGATGCATTCATTTACCCAATTAAGGGCAAAATCATCAAAGTCAAACTCACACAACAAATAGACAAAGATCATTTAAAACATCCTAAACCTGTGCATAATCAAAGACTCTACTGGTCCTAATTAACATCCCTTAGTAGAGTCCATTGATTTCACTCATTACTCTGCAAGGTTAAGTGCACGTTCCTAAAAGTAATTTACATTCAAAATCACCTCTGAACATATTTAGACATTTATCACTGTCCTTGGCATAAGAATGTGTGTCTTATATGGGTTTTCGACAACATCAGTGCAGATGCTAAAACGTATTTATCCAGAATCCATGAATATGGATCGTTGTAATTTTGACACAAGATGTCAGTCTTCACTGACCTAATTCTCAAATTACCCGACATAACGAGGATTCAAATATTCAATTTTTGTCACAAAATCTAAAAAATATTTTACAAAAAAAGTCATTGTAATGTTAGTTTAATCTAATATAAATTGTGATGTCACAGAATCCCCAAAAAGTATGTAATTCAGATTTAAGGTTAACACTAAATAAGGTAAAAAAAATTGAAAAGTTTACACCCCTAAATGTACTTAACACTTGTATCTGTCACCTCAGTCATAAAGTGAGTAGTTTAAGGAGGTTTATGGATATAATTAGTGTCCAGTAAATCACAAGCTATACCCACATTTATATTCCTATATATGGAGCGTAGCTATTCGCCCTGAAGCTAGGACGTCGTGCGTGCTACGTCATGACGCACGGCTGCTGGGGTTTTCTCAACCTTCTCTGAGACCGTCACACATTCTTTGGTTAGCAGACGCCTCGAACACACCTCAGCCAACAGAACCATGGTGGGTTTTTGTTCCACTCGACTTGAATAACATTACCATTTATCTTGTGTGATTAGCTTCTTCTTTATAGAAACTGTTTTAGCTTTACAACGGTGTTAAGTTGAGTTTGAGTGTCTGAAATGGCTCGCGGGTTGCTAGCGGAAGTGCAACTTTTTGAGAAGCTAACATTAGCCTGCACGGTAACTGTAGATAAAGTTAACAATCACACGACAAGCTAATTAATGTCGCTGGAATATGTACTTGTAAATGAATCTGTGCTGAATGTGCTTTAGTTAGCAAATATCTGATTTGAATAGATCTAACTATTTTCAAACTATGTTCAAAAGCTTTTGAAGTCAACCCAAGCTAGCCTTTTTATTGCGTAGCAAAAGGAACAATTTTCATGTAGCCTTATTTCTCTTTGAACAGTCTGACTTCTCGGAAGATCAAATCCTTGGTGAGTTTTGATTTTGTTTTGTAGCTCTTCAAGTTCTCTCCTGTATTGCATGCTTTCATTCTTGCTTCTTTAAGATGACACTTTGCCCTGTATCTTCACTATCATCCTGCTCAATGCCCGCCTGTCATAGTAGTTATGGTTTTAGGCTAGGTTTGCCTTCTTTATTTCCGTACTGTTTCATCACTTTCCACTTGCAACTGCTTGTCCTTTCCAGATTGAATTTAACCTGGATCAGATTCATGGTAAGTCTCTGAAAGAGGGACCGCCTTAGCACAAAACTGATGGCTATCTCGGTGTGTTTAGGGTGTGATCTGCATGTAGATTTTGGTAAAAAAAAACAAATCTGTAATAAATGTGAATGATAGTTGCTTTGCACTGTTGTTTGGTACGTCAAAATCAGTCATATTGTGCATATAACGTTATAATACTATTTCCCCGCTTTGACAGTTTGTTGCAGTGTTTTTACGTGGTCAATCATGCATTAGCAGCACTTAGTAAGCCAAAGTAGCCAGGGTCACATTTGTCCTCATAAGTCTTGTTCTGTTGGACTGTATTCATTCCTGGTTGTGTCAGCTTGCCATAAACTTTGCCTGTTATCTTCCAAGCAGCTCATCTCCTAGAGCGTGCCCTTTTTTGGTGCTGGATACAGTGGTGCATGGTTTTTGTCCTAAGGCTGGTTTGTTTAATCACACTGACATAATAGGCTATAGCTACTCTCACTCTCCTCCTACTTTCCTCCACTCCTCTAATACCAAATATGGTGTTGGGAAAAGTGCTCACACCCCAGAAGGGAAGAGGCACATTCCTCAGAACAGGAACAACTCCACAACAGTGCCTGAGCTTTTTTTGGGGAATAGCTTGTCCCATAACATTAGGACCAAACTGCCGCCCGGATGTTGTGTAATCTGACTGCATGTCGCCCTGATAGCTAGATTTTTAGATAAGCTGTTTGACTGTCTTACAATGTCTAATGTTAGACAAAGCTAAATTCATCAACCCTGTGATGAATGACACGATTGCATCATAGCTGATAAATGATAACGCCTAGGTAGTTCCCCTTAAACAACAACAACACAACAACACAACTACTCAATGTGTTGTACTCTTTGAGAAGTAGTCAAGATAGTACTATAACATGTCAAAGTGGAGTTGGGGAGCAGCAGAGAAGTCGAATCTTGTTTTTAAAGTTTTATAAGGAATATATTCAAACCAGATATATTCTTGCTGAAATAGAAGATAAGACTACTTACTACACATTGATCTTTGATTGCTACCATAAAATGAGTGACATGTTTTTAGAGATTACACTATATTGACATTAACAGAACAGTATTACTTTCACATTGTTTAATGAGTGCTGTGTTTTTTGCTTGATAGTTTTGGAAGTGATTGACTGAATTTCTTAAATACTTTACAGTTTCTGCTATGTCTTTGTTTAAGACTCACAACAATTAACACAGATGAGTTAAAGGTGGGGTAGGTAATTTGAGAAACCAGCTCGAGTGTGCTAGAATTTGAAAATACACAGCCGGAAAAAATCTGCCACTTCCTTACAGAGCCCCTCCTCCAACACAAACGAACGTGCACATGACCAATGAGGGCACGAGATAAGTTTGTGCACAGATGGAAGGCTGACAGGCAGGTAGGCCATCCAGTTGGCCGGCTAAAATGATTGGTCGTGCTTTTTACAGTACTACGGCTTCCACAGATGACATTTTTATGATTTTTTTGTCAAAGCACTTAAGATATTCATTGCTATCGGGATGTTAAGAGCATTCCATGGAATATAACAAAAAGTGTATCTCGAGTCGGTTTCTCAAACTTACCTACCCCACCTTTAAGTAGTTAATTCATACATTATTTTATTAAGCAAGTCAAATGTCAAATACATTTTGCATCCTTTTCTACATCTTAAGACCTTTTTGTTTTCTGACCAATTGTAACACAAATAGCTATAAAGATCTAAGCCAATTTAGAAAATGCTTAAACTTGAGTTTACATGCCCATCTGAAACTGATGTTGATGTTTTGTAGGAAGAGTGTTTACTTTTGTTTAGACCTAGAGCATTTGGGATGTTTGTGGCCATCCTCTTCAAGATAACGCATCTCTTTAATAAGTTGAGCCCTTTATGACAGTTCTTTACTTTAACCTTATCTTAACAGTTTTATAAGAAAACATCTATACTATAGCTGTTAATTTACTAACTTGAAGCTATGACTATTACATGTTTTTGCCATATTTGAAATCTTTGGAACATTTTAAAACCACAACAACCATGACAAAGATAGTAGTGTTTCATTAGTGAAGTGACTGACCAGATAACTTGCCTGAAAACATAGATTTGGGTAAATTAAGGAAGTTGGAGGGGCATTTGCAATGTCAACCAGAGAGAGCAAGCTATTTGTCTGTGGTGGCACCGCTCTGACGTATCGATTGAAAACGATTATTTTAGTCACAATAAGTGTTTAAATACAGTTTCTTCACGGCACATGAGTTAGGAATTGGCCTTAGAGTTGTACAATATAATAATACATTGTATTATATTATTATCTATATGTATATAGAAACGTACGCAGATGTGTCTGTGTAGTGCTGTGTGCTCGCCTGCTCACTTTAATTTAGGCCGTAGACCAGGCCACAACCTGTGCTTTCTCTTGTCTGCTTGTTTTCCTTTACCTTTTTGTCCCATTTCTCCTCCTATCACCTCCCTCTTCACATCATTCTACATTACATGTTTGTTGATCTTAGTTTCCAACATAATGAAATCCCCTAATCTAATTTGTCATGTGTCTGTGTATCCTGCAGAGTTTAAGGAGGCATTCCTGCTGTTCGACAGGACGGGAGATGGCAAGATCAGCTTCAGTCAGTGTGGGGACGTCATGCGGGCCCTGGGCCAAAACCCTGTCAACGCTGAGGTGCTCAAGGTGCTGGGCAACCCCAAGGCTGAGGGTGAGATGGAATAATAAACACACTGGGGAGGTGTATGTCTTAAATGTACATAAATGATCTTATTATCTTTCGATTGCACAGTTGTGTGTTGCAGCTAGAGACTTACCGCATTTATTCTGTCTTCTTGCAGAGATGAACATGAAGATGCTGGACTTTGAGCAGTTCCTGCCCATGTTCCAGGCCATCGCTAAGAATAAAGACCAGGGCTCCATGGAGGATTTTGTAGAGGGACTGCGTGTCTTTGACAAGGAGGGCAACGGCACAGTAATGGGAGCAGAGCTTCGTCACGTGCTCACTACGCTAGGTGAGCTACATTTTCATCCTCCTTATTAGGGATGGGTATCGTTAAGGTTTTAACGGTACTACTACTTTTATCGATACCGCTTATCGGTCCGGTCTTTTAACGGTACTCTTATCGGTTCTTTTGGAGAGAAAAATGAGGTAAACTAACTATAGGCCTATGTTGTATGTCAGGGACTACGGATGGAAATTAGCTCAAAGCTAAAATCCGGCATATTTACACTTGAAGCATTATTTGTCTAAAGTGTTCATTAATGTGCATTGTCCCTATTCAAATAAACAATTAAATGAAAATTAACAAATTGTGAACAAAACTAACATTGCTTTTTATTTAAATGAAATACATAATATTTCACATCAACAGAAACAACGTTTTAACAAATCATATTAAATAATCTGATGACAGAACTGTGAACAGAATGGCTGAAACTTTAACAAACTAAATAACTCAGTTCCCTCTAATCATTAACCCATGTTTGAATCATTGAGTTAGCTCTGTGTGTTGCTGCTAGCATACATAATATACCTGACGTGGAAACGTTACTCGTGGATGGGGCTACAGAGCTACAGTACTAGAGAGACAGTCGAACCCGGTGCATTTCTCCGTCTGAACGTGGTGCACTTTTGCAAGATGTTTAGACAAATTGCTCGTGTTACCGCCCTGACATGCTAAACTCTTATTGCACTTTAGGCAACGAGCGAGACGGGTAAAGTTTAACCACACCTCGGAGCGCGTTCTCTCCGCCATCTCCTCCGTGTGTGTGTGTTGCTGCATGTAGCAGCTGCGTGTGTGTAAACTGCCCCGCCCCCTCGCACACAGGCGGGGGAGAGAGATCTCTCGTCTGGATTGGAGAGATCGAAAATACAAAAAATGACGCATTTTGCAGTCTTTTTGCATGTTAGAAACGGAGTTGGCGACACTAAAACTGCAATATAATGTTTGTGTAGCAATAATACACATGACATATTTTTTAGATGTCTCCAGTACCGATAAAAAGACCGATAACGTCGGAGCTTAACGGTACCACGGTCTTTAATAATTCAGCCCCGGGGCCCGTTTAATACCGGGGCTCGGTACCCATCCCTACTCCTTATTAGGTATCTGGATTTTGAGTTGATTTTAAGTTTACACACTATATTAACAATCTTTAATGTATGTGATTATTATGATGAAATGTCCTTAAAACTGAATGTACATGGCATCAAAATAAATGATTTGCATCATTGGGTTTGCAAGTGTATTATAGTAATCCCTTATCACTTTTTAATAAACACTGTAGTATCAACAATATTGTTAGAATAAATATTTTCTATGTTTATGTTTTAGGTGAGAAAATGTCAGAGGAGGAAGTTGAAACACTCTTGGCGGGACACGAAGATGCAAATGGCTGCATCAACTACGAAGGTGAGAGAGAGAGAAATAAACAACATAAGATACTTACTGGATGCGGTTGCTACAAACCTGCAAACTATTGAATGAAACCATCATAGCCAGTCTTGGCATTGTGATAATGAATCCTCAGTCATGCGTTATACTGTGTGCGCTGTGGGAGATGCTGATCATCATTGGAAACACCCTTTAGCGTACTAAACTGTCACTGCAGTTCTGCTTTATTTAGTCTGTGATGAGCTGGTTGTCCATCCATGTTGCTGTTACTGTCTTTTTATGTGTCTTTCCACTTGTGGCTAATTGATGCATTGGTGCATTGATATCCGCTGACAGTGTGTCAACTGTTCTTCTTCCACAGCGTTTGTCCGCCACATCATGTCAGGCTAAGGGCTGGTATGGGCATTTGGTTTACCATGAGATGGCACTTCAAGGCTTTCCTGCATTTTAGTTGTTAAATAATCCAATCCCATTAGGCCATTCTAACACCGATCGCCTGTAGTTATGCTCTTTATATCGGCAAACAGGAACAATGTCCTTTTGCAAAGTAGATCTGACCCGTAGGTGTGGGGAAAGCCTGGTGGTCCCACTCATCTTTAGTCCTGAGGCTCTGCCCCATGTGTAGTCTGTCTGTCTGTCTGTCTGTCTGTCTGTCTGTCTTGGCCCCTGGCTGAAGCATGCCCCTCTGCATGTGTCTGGGGCCTCCTCAGTTTATACAGGGTAGACACACAAGGAAGTGACTGGTTTTATTCAGGGAAAGCCTGGTGGCCATTGTCGAGTTATTGGATGTGTGTGAAGGTCGCAAGGCAGCGCTTCTAATCTCATTTGCATGTCATTGCTGCTATTCAAATAGGCTTCTTCCTCTGTTGGTGTTAGAAGTGATGCTTCTTCTTAATCAGATAAAATAGACTGACATTATAGAGTTTGAATACAGCCACCAGCTTTGGTAGAGTAGACCAGTCCCTTTTTCTACTAACAGAGAATTGCAATACGTTGCTCTTTTGTGCTGATTTGATTTCTCCTCTACACTGATGGAAGCTGATTTCGTAGCTGGCCGCTCTCTGACTGGACTTAAACTCCCTTGATCTTCTCCCCCTTTCTCTGCTTCTCAGCTAGAGGAAAGCATACAGCAAGGATGGCTTCTCTAACTAGCTCTTCTTGGATCATAGACCCTGCCAAATGCTCTGGCTAAATAGGAGATAGAGATGATTAACTCACCTCCTTCTCTCAGTACCCTCTATAACCCTTTCTCCTTTGGGTAGACGGAATGTGGGGGATCTGCCTCCAAATGCAGCATCTCCTACCCAGTTTCGCCAGACCTGGCTGAGGAGGGGGCTGTATCTGGAGGGGGTCTCTGCCAATATCTAGACCACGATCCTAACTCTTGTCTTTCTCTCTCCTCTCGTTTACAGAACTCGTCAGGATGGTCATGAACGGCTGAAGACGAAGAGCATCCAACGTTTTTTTTATCCTGTCACATGTACCCTCTTTTTGCAGTTAGCTTCAACAGCCCCCCCCATCCTTTTCCATGGATTAGTTTTCCACCTTTAATTTAAGAAGTGCCTTTACATTCCCTAAAAAAGACCACAAATGGCCCTGGCTATTGCTGCCAGGTCCGTTCACATGTGTGACCAACTTGTATGCATTCATGAGTCTTAAAGCTAGCATTGTTTGCAATAACATTCCAAGATGCAGCGCTAAGGATGACATAAATTGATAATGATATACTGTAAATGTTGATACTACTGTGTCAACGTTGGATAGGACATTAATATATATAAATATAAACAGTATACATGTCGGCAACCTACTTTATCATTGGCTAAGACTTGCTTTGGCTGAGGAACCGATCCTGCAGTAAACCGGTATATTCAAAGCCATACTATCATGAGGTAGAATTAAACATTTCAAAAGTGTTCCCATGTTTTTAATTCACCAAATTTTGTTGCTGCATTTAAATAAATGTTTTTTCCTGAAAACTCAACTTGGTGGTTTTGATTCAATATAATTGTTTCGGCTTTATCTCACTGCAATGCATCGATGATTATACATTGACACAAGAGGGCAGTGTTGCTGCTTGAATCTGATGTGGTGAAAGGACTAATTTTGTAATCAGAATATTCAGTTTGAAATACAAAAGGCTTATATTGATCTGCCATTTATGCTATTTGTTAACTAAATGTAGAATTCAATGCACATCATGAGTGTATATTTTGGTACTCAAGCCAATATAATTTATTATTGACTGAAATAATTCAAGGTTTCTCTTATTGGTTAACATTGTTTAGCGACATTGCAAACTCTCACTTTCAGCCCCAAAATGTCCATGTTCATAACTTGTGGCCAAACTGTAATTTTTTACACTGAGTGATTCGGTGACAAAGCACCAAGATGTGAGCAGTAGAACGCTGTTTGGTGGCTCCCTGACCTTTTCTTCATTTTCCTCTCAAGCAGCCACAGCTATTTCCCCTCATTAGGCACACCAGCCATTGGAGTGTGCAGCTCCTATGTGTGGGCTAAGGTTCAGGAGGGTGTCATAGTCCACTGCTGAATAGGTTGTCCACTAATTACTCGGTGTGTATGTGTGTGGTCGATGGAAGTCAAGGCTATTGATTATTTTAATCCTCCTATTTGTGAGTCTGTGATCCTCGTGGCTCTGCATTCGACAGGGGAATCACTAATGGGCCTCAGCGCAGCCTGTCTCAGACCTCTCCCCGTCCAATTAACTTTCAACTGGAATCTGCCAGGAGAGAGAGCCGGGGGCTGGGCCCGGGCGCCGCTGCATCCCTCTCTCTCCGCTCAGGAGCAACAGATTCGCAAAATCCTTTAAGTCTAGAATGCCATCAAGTCTTGTCTCTAATTAGACACTTTTCCTTTTTTCTAGTATTCAAGATGAACTCTTTCTCACTGATCACAAACTATTAAAGTGGCAATGTTAAAATTAAAATCATTACATTAATAAACTGGTCAAATTATAACAACACAGTGATGTAGTTTTAAATATCGCACACAGTTGTGATTTGTAAGGAAGAATCAATTATGAAAATATACCCAGTGTGATTAATCAAACTTAGATTCAGTCGGCTAAATTATTCCCTGCCATTGATCAAATATACTATGTATTCAGGAATATAAATTCACTGTTTTGTGTGTGTGAGATAATTCACACAATGATTTTCATAAAATCCCTGTAGTATCATCAATAGATTGAGAGAAAAACGCAAATGTTACTTATGTAAGATTACACAAATCTCGTGATGTATTTCTTTTTTATTTGTGGGCTCTCTAACAAATGATCTTGGCACACTTTTTTTAAACAATGTCAAGCTTCATTTGACACCGAACCAATTGTGTTAGTTTGTACAATTGATCCTTATATTGTTACATTTGAAATCTACAAACCATCTGGATTTTGTAGATCCTGGGTGTATTATAAGCAGAGATCGATAGAGCAGTATGAATCTTTGTGTCTTACACAGTGTCTTAAGACATATTGGAAATCCATGTTGAAGCAGGCGGCGGATGTGGTACACCCCTGCTGCTTCGATTTTCAGCTGTAAGTCCACGCAGACATTTCATATATCTAATTCTCAGTATGTCCGAGTGGTCACTCCAAATAAAGCTGTGTGTATGACTGTAAAACGTACAAGCCTTTATTCAGCCCTGACATTGACCACGGCAAAACAACATGCGAGTAAACAGACGAGCTGGGTATAGATATTTTAATAGCAATTGTCTACTCTGCCAATTCAACATACCAGATAGCCCATTTCAGGATAACTGTGTTTATACATGTGATGATACTTTGACAGGGTCTCTCAAAAATAAAGTACTAAGTAGATATGGCAGTGTTATTACAGAAACGTGCCTGTAACGTATTATACAACATTTATTGAAAGTAAAACACTGCAGCTCTTACTTTTCACAGCCTCATTATATTACAGTATTTATGTATCCATTCATACATACTGTCCCCCCCAACACACACACAATATAGAGGGTATGCACTGACATTACTTTTCCATCTGAAAACATCAGAACATTAGTCAGAATAACAGGCAAAACAACATCCTGCATCATTGCTCCTGTTTTTGAGTGAAACTGCAAAACCCCAAAACAAACAAGTATCTCTTTAAGTTAAAGGCAGTTGGAGTTAATACCAATAGACATTCTGATTGTTTGTCAACAGGTTTGAACACATACACATATATCACCTTTTATTTTGAAAAACTCTAAGCGGCTTTTTTCCATAGAGTATATCCCTTTGTCTGAGGTACCAGCTGTAAAGGTCATCATCATCATCAGTGTTTATTAATACATTTTGACAAAAACATTTCACAGTAACACGTCATTGAAATGAAAGATGATAAGTACTTAATTGATGAGTCGTCAATACCGTTTATAACATATGATTTTACCCAAAAGTTCAACATACTGATGAAAAAATGCTACTCTAAATCAATGTTTTCCTGCATGAAATCTAGTTGTTTCTGCATATGGTAAAAAAGATAGCTCTAAATGCTTGTTGAGTCTACTCATACAGTAAATCGCACAACAGCTCTTATCAATTTAAGATGCATATTTGATGTTTTTGCCACCTTTTGCCTTACATAAACGGTGACATCATGTGCATACCCTCCATGTCAACAATGTACTTGGCAATTAGAACTTTATCACACACAAATGCCATCCATAAAATGTGTTGTGTGTGTGTGTAATATGTTTTGTTTTATCTTGATGTGATGTCCTGTGTCATTATGGAAACAGGAACGAAAGGTGAAACATCTGGGTTTTATTCAGACAGCGTTATTTTAATCAGTATGTTCCCAATGCAGGGTGAATCACAACAGGGATTACATTTCAACTGGTGTTATTCACTTCTGGGAAATATTTTACAATGATGAGTTGCAAAACATAGGCTACGCCATTTGATCAGAGGCCATTGGAATGGATAGCAGAAATCTAAAAAGTAAAGACTATGACAGTGGGTGCATTCGTCTCAGCTTAGTCATCTTGTTGAATGGCACCCTCAATACCATTATTGCAATAAAAATCAATTGAACTCATGGTGTTTGATATATTCTGGTTCTCACAATAATAGGTTGGATGGAACACGCTAACGTTTTTTAGATATTTCATAGCCGCAATTGTTATGTGCACCTATACTTTACATCTTCCGACGTTTATATTTGCACAAAAGGTGCCATATAATTGCAGTTGTTCATGATGACTGGCTCAGAATCACGCAGCTGGATTTATCCCACTTATCTCAGATTTTCACTCGATCTATTAATTACGTGTTTTTTTATCAGAGACAAGAACAAATCCTGCTAACACTCTTTTTGCCTCTTGCTGTGAGGCTAATTATGTTACACCTGTAGCATATATATATGTGTGTGTGTGTGTGTGTGTGTGTGTGTGTGTGTGTGTGTGTGTGTGTGTGTGTGTGTGTGTGTGTGTGTGTGTGTGTGTGTGTGTGTGTGTGTGTGTGTGTGTGTGCGTACGTGCGTGCGTGTGTGCGTGCGTGCGTGCGTGTGTGCGTGCGTGTGTGTGTGCGTGTGTGTGTGCGTGCATTGTGCGACTTGCATGTTTCTATGTGTGCATTTATTTGCATAATTACATTTAACTGGGAATGTGTGTGTGTGTGTTGGTGTCCATTTTCTGTAAGGAATGGTTATATTCAGTCTGGGTAGATGAGGAAGCCGGAGAAGGTGCTGTACTTGTTTGTGTTCCCTCCGTGGACCTTGCCTCCGTCCAGCTGCACACACACCTCATCACCCACGTCCAAATGCAGGATCACACTGTTGGAGGCGTAGTCGTAATTCTGATCAGCGTCCTGAGCGATGGCGCTGGCTCTCACCTGTCACCAACAGAGGACACACGCATTGACAATTAGAACATGGACGAAACTGAACAAACACTTGCAAATGTCACCGCCACTAACTCAACAGCTCAGGGAACTCAGCAGCATTTTAAATTAATACTATCTCATTCCTTTATCACATTTTATCATATTCTGTAGGCTGAGTGATGATCAATTATTTACAGCTTTCAAATGAGACCCTCGTCAGTATGACATCGCCTCCGCATTCATGCTGGATAAACAGATAGATGGGACTGTGACCTGTGACCCTAAAGGTGGGCTGAGAACACATCCCCTCTGCCTGTTATCGATCAGCTGTGGCTGGGGTGAAGGGCCGAGGATGGAGATGCGATTGGGTTTTGGAGATAAGCGGACTCACTGGGGACAACAGGTTGTCTATGGGGAAACTACCTCAGCCGAGAAGCAGCATAACTATCCATACCAGCTATTGACCTGTTGCTTATGATCCCGGGCCAGCTCAATATGCATGATATTGAGTGGCTATGCCAAAGCCAGACAGCTTCACATTTGCATGCCGTGTGTGAGCTCGGTGTTATTGACCGAGCAGCTGTGGATCTTTACTTGTTTGTTAACACATTTAATTGGGTTTACTCGTTGTAGACATTTAAATACACATGCCTAGATTGCAACATACTAAGCCTAAAGGAGATCACTGCTTTTTTATGTTTCTTAAACTGGCATCTACATTTAAATACTATGTGTATATAGGTCTTGAATGCTTTCGATAAAAAAACACTTTTCATAGATAGATAGATAGATAGATAAAGTATAACCATACACTATGTTGCATTCCTAAAGGCTTCCTTATTAGGATGTATCAATATTTCTGTGTGGCAGTTCCAATCATCAGACATATGTCAGCCATCAGTGGCCTTGTGTCTGGCTCAGTGTCCATCTACGGTGGGAGCACTCAATCTGTGTCAGCAACCAGACAAGCCACGCACATCTTCATGACAGCCACAGAATATGATCAGCAACTCAACTACCATCATGTCATTCCCTTCACTGGGGCCCTCTTTCTCCCCATAGAGTATGCATCAATTTGAAAACAGTCAATCACTGAGCAACAGAGCCTGAATTACAGTAACTAAAAAAATATG